CCATTTTTATCCAACTACTGCTTGCAATCTTCGTGGCATTGAGTAAATTGAATTACGAAAATTGTAGTTGTCTGTTTATATAATGTTGAAGCATACCATTAATTGATTATGCACTGTTTTAAATCTTGTTTCGAAGCAGGTCTAAATTCTGTATTGTAATTTTTTTTGTAAAGTAGGCCCAAATATTTTCGCTCTTAACATGATCTTACATGCTGGAACGTTAAATTATCTCCAAAGCGTTCATTAGCGGATGGCAGCATTACATCTAATTATGTATTTGTCGCTAGTCAGAAGTCCATCAATAAAATAAATCTGCCCTGGACCTTCAGCACTTATACAGGCCCATGCATAGATAGAAAGTCTTCCGCTAGACTGATTAAATTGGATGTTGTCCTCCTCATACCTGGTTCGTCGTGGCCTATAAACTTTTAATGTTGGGCTACTATTGCATGACTGAAAAACTTTCTCGTCAGAGGAAACTATATTGCTCCAGAAATTTTCAGGTTCTTGAGAAAATAACTGAGCAAACTGTAATCGACACTGTCTATTTTTTTGTACTGAAAATAGTTTACGAGCCGCTGAATGACATTTAAATCCAGTTTTCTTAATACGCCTTCGCGCAGTTCTAACTGAAGCTGGAAAAGTACTCAATTCTTTGGCTCTAATTTCCGAAATAAATGGATATGAAACGACCTCGTCAAAAAGAGATTGATCCTCTTGTCGAATTGTTTTTCTCGGTCGCCTCCTCGTTGTAGGTTCGTGATAGAAGCAGTTTCAACCCATTTTTTCTTCAAATTCATAAGTATACTACTTCCACAACCAAGGGTTAAGGCGACTGCACATATAGTTTTCCCTTGTGAAATCATTAGAATTGCTTTCGCTTTTTCATCGTTGGTTAAAATATGGTACTTTTTTTTTCAATCTTATTTAAAAACCTTATAAAACTGTTCTAGTTCGCCACTGAGTTATTACTTTGACAGAATTTTGGAATTACCGGCTTGTTAAAAAAGTCAGATTTTGATGCAATACGAGGTGCGTTTTTAAAGTTTAATAATAATAATGCTTTATTGTCAAAAAAATTATAACATAATTTGTAGACTAAGCCTTAAAGTTAAAAATACATATTATATACATCTACATGTATACAAAGTCAAAATAAAATGATATAAACATAAACAAATATAACATGAACAAATACAAAAATGAACAAATTACCTATAAACTATGATCCAGTGTGTGGAACGCTCAAAATTAAGTCAGAAAAAAGTCATTTACTTTATATAAGGCTCTCTCTGATAAATAGGATTTTAGAGCTATGCGAAATTTAGGAAGAGATGCTATGGACTTGATGACTACTGGCAGTTTGTGCCAATTCCAATGGCCGCGACTGTACGTCATTGGGTACATGTGCCCCACGCTATGCAAAAATTATTATTTCTAAAAAATAAATAAATTGAAAATTTTTGATGATCACTAATTATGTGCAAAACCCTTACTGACACAAAATAAAATTAGTCACATTAAATATCCACTTTTTGGGAAAATATTCTAGAAAAATTGTTTTCTGGGGTACATTTGTACCCCACCCGGGAAGACGAAGGTTGATCAATTCCTAAGCATTTTTATTTTTTCTCATGGAGTTAAGAGACATGCCGAGGTATGGTATTGTAATTTTTCTGCGAAAACGAAGCGAAATAGTTGAAAAATTTAAGAGACCAAAATGTTGTATTTTTAGTGTGTCTATCTGAATAATCAATAAAAATCGTACAAAAACTACAGAGTGATATTTTTTCTGCACAAAAACAACCGACTTGGTAGCTGGGTACGCCCCTGGGAATTCTGGATCAAATCTAATTGGTCCAGTAGATGTCTGATAATGGTTGAAATAAACCGTGAAAATTTCATTGAAATCGGCCAAAGCTCTTTTGGGCTATTCATAAAAAACTATTTTTTTTTTGAAAAACGTATCACCCTGTATCTTGGAAACAAAGCGTTTCCGGACCTATATTCATAGGAACTTTCTCAATTATTTTCATAAATACTATCTGCCCTTGAAGTTTGTAACACCATTTCTGAAACACCCTGTATATTTCCCAACATATGTTAGTATGCCTAGAAGGCGCTGAACGTCAAGCCTGTTTTGTGGCGTAGGTATCTCCAAAATTGCACTCTTATTTTGCTATTATTAGCATATATTCCTTCTTGGCCAATTGGCTTGTCCGATTTATGAAAGTTTATTTTTCCCAAACTTGCATTTACTAAAAATAAATTTAACATTATTCTTTCTGGCCGTCTCTAATACTTCTTTCAATCTGCAATCACGCTCCTCAACATTTTCACCATAAATAATAAGATCGTCTATATAATTATTATCTACTCCTTCAAAACTAAATCTATTTCTAAATCTCTCCTGGAAAACTTCAGGTGCACTTTTTATTCCATATGGTAATCTTTTATTTATTTGCAAACTTGAAAACTTGTATCGCTCAAAAGGTGTTCTAAATCTGCAGAGTTTTGAGCTCTCTTCGTCTAGTTTTACATGATAAAATCCATTACATGCGTCAAGCGCACTAAAAACTGTGGCTCCTGTTAGCTTCGATGCCACTTGGTCAAAATTAGGAATTTGGCAATATTCTCGTTTTATAACTCTGTTTAGTTCTTTCGGATCAGAACAGATTCGTATTATCTCATTTGGTTTTCCAACTAATACCAGAGCATTTTGCCACTCCGTAGGTCCCGTAACCTTTGGAATTATATCTGATTTCTTCAAAGAATCTAGACTTTCTCTTAGTGAATCTAATAATAGAATTAGAACTTTCCTTACTGGATGTACAACAGGCCTAGTATTTTTTTTTTCAATTTCTAGATGATATGTACCATCCAAGCACCCTATACCAGAAAAAACATCACCAAACTCATTAATTAAATCTTTATAATTATTCTTTTCCTGATCAAGAATTTGATCTGGTTTTATTTCGATTGAGTCAGTACGCTTGATTAATCCCAAATCAATTGAAGATTGCAAACCCAATATACACTATGAGTTTGCGTTGACAACAAAAAAGTCTAAAGCTCAGCTTAGGTAGCTCATCAAAAACAAAAGGCAACTTACACAACCCTATCACATTTAAATTATCACCAGTTTAGGCTTTTAATTCAACACGTGTGAGAATAATAGGCTCGTTCAGTGAGGTTCCATTAACCATGTTTTTTGATATTTTTATGGAGTATTACTCACATATAGCACACAAAAAAAAATTCAGCGCAATTGGATAAATATTAAAAAAGTTATGCGGCTTTGAATAATAAAACATTATGCCTCAGAAATTCATCGCTTAGAGATGGTATGACGTCATCTCTCGAGTCAAGACGGGCTAAAGGCCGTCACACGACCAACTTGAGAGATGCAGTGACGTCACCGCGTGTTTCGAAATTTCCAAACTTGGAGCTTTTTGATAATTTATTTAAATATGAACAAGGGCTCGGAAAATTATGAAATTTTGCACAACTGCTAAACTCAATACGCTCTTTTAGAATATGTAATAAAAAAAATATGCTGAACGAGCCTATTAAATTATTATTTAAACCAATACTATCAAAAATATTTAATAGCAATATGTTTGCCATTGCCTCAGTCTATTTTAAATTGTACATTTTGATTATTTATTTTTAAATTTTTAGTCCACTGATTATTGATTATATTGTTTGCATTAATACATCCAATAAACAGCTCTCATCTGAATTATAATTTACATTTGAAATTATATTGATGTCAACAGTACTAATTCCACTCTGTAATTTCTTCAATTCTGTTTTTCCTCGTGTCATTTCTTTTTTTGAAACAACAACACTAAAGTGATTGTGAATCTTAAAATAAGAACAGATTTTTCCATAAGCTGGGCATTGGTTAACAAGATCAGACTCAGTTACTATATTTATTACATGAAATAATTGATTTTGGTTTCTTATTATATTCAGTATTTCGTCTGTTTACCTGTAATGCATCTACTACACCTGCGTTGCTGCAACCCATAGCACCCATATCATCACTACGCTCTTTTGCCATTTCCATAATTACACAAATTTCCATGGCCCGATCCAAAGACATTTTGTCATCTTCTTGAAGTAGCTATTCCCTTAATTGAAAATAACTAATTCCACAAATAAGAATTGTTTTGGTGAGATCTTCTTGTAAGCATCCAATTCACATTTCATGGCCAACTTTTTTAATTCCATAAAGTATTATTTTAAGGGTTGCCTTGTCCTTGCTTGTATGTAAAAAACTTATATCTTTCATACGTTAAGCTTTCTTTTGGAAGAAAATTATTTTCAAATTTCCTGAGCAAAACATCAAGCTTGTTCTTCTCCACTTCTTCGAACCTAAATGTGGTGAAAATTTGAAAACCTTCTTCACCAATATAGTGTAACGCTTGAGAACACTGTACTGCGTCACTTTTTTTTGTCAATTTCACTGGCTACAAGGTAATTTTGGAAACGAGATTTCCAAATCTTTCAATTGTCTGCTAGATTTCCCGTTGTAAATATTTGTTGACTATAGTTTTGAAATTACTCGTTAAACACTGTCAACTAACGACTGCGCCATGTAACATGCATAGGATAGATAGCATGTCGTAATAATTGAAATTGGAATTGAAAATAAGAAATTAGAATTTAGAAATCAACTGTGTTTATTAATCAAAATAACATTCCGTTTCGGGAAAGTGAGGTTCGGTTGCCCTGACTCGATTATCGCTGCCGAATTGACAGGAGTGACTCTGATAGGATCAACCTAGGGTACTCTGAACTACCCTACAACGATAGTCCACTGTTACTGATAATTTGGTCACTTTGTCGGTTTCGATTTTGTACCTTGCCGGTAACATAAATGTGAAGACTTGTTCCATTGGAACTCGCTGTGCAATGCTAATTTATCTCAAGATATGTGTTTGTGTGTTTTGTGTGTATCAACAGTGTCATATACAGTAGGTAACAAAAGTCACTTACCTGGTTGGTCTTATTTGACTACTAGGATACTGATGACTAAACGACGACGTTGGCTTGACTGGCTTTTTGGTGACTTGACTATGAATACTGGATGTATGACTAGGTGCCGTATACAACACTTGTGGCTTTAATGACGACGAACTTAACGATAAAATAGTGTTCACTGTAGTGTTATGCGCACAACACGACCCGAACATAAAAGTGTCCACGCACATACCTATGTGATAACCTTCGGACTTGATGCATTCGTAGACGAACATGCAGGTGCCTTCTTGACCGTCTACCCAACAGGGCTTCGGATTGATTTGATAACCTATAAAAAGAAAATTATATAAAATTAAAGTAATGTGGATGTATTGGTTTTTGTAGAAAAAGTTCGTGTCCCAAAATAGATTCAAAGGAAGAAGGAAGTAGTCGGATAAGGACAAAAAAAAAACAATCAAATACTCGCCGACGTTTCGCCTTTATTGTTTAAAAAAGGCATCTTCAGGGCTTGTATTCAAAACATATTCTAGGCTGATTGTAAAACATATAGGTGAGTAGGATTTGGCGGTTTGAGTTGTTGCAACATACGAACAATAAAAGAGTTAAAAACATGAACAATACAAAAAGAACAACTCAGATACTTAGGAACAATCTAAAAACAAAGTTATGGCTGTTGTGTATGGACCGTATGGACCGATATACAAGTTGGTACTCACATTGTTAGATTACGGTAAAGTGCACTTTACCGCACGTATTTGCAAATGGAAAGTATCACTTTACCGCACACTATGCGGTAAAGTGCACTTTACCGCATAGTGTGCGGTAAAGTTAACTTTACAGCATAGTATGCGGTAAAGTAGAATACAAAGTGTGCGGTAAAGTGCACTTTACCGCATAGTGTGCGGTAAAGTAGAATTTGATATTTATAATCAAAAATCCTCTCTTTTTCAGAAAATGGATTTTTGATCATTTCTAAATCTTATCTAATTTCATTAATTAATCTGATTCATTAATTAATTTTATCAATGCCTTTTTTTGGAGATGTAGATGCTCATAGGTAAAATTTTGTACCTAACACATGCGGAAAGTGCCTTTACCGCCCTTAACGGCTTGACCGAACTCCGCTTCGCGTCGTTCGGTCAACTGCCGTTGCGTGCGGTAAAGTATCACTTTCCGCATTTGTTAGGTAAATAACTATTTCAGGAAAACCACCTATTTAAAATATTATTTCTTCAAATTTTAACTTTTAAAAAAATGTTTACTGAATAAAATTAAATATTGCAACCATCTACTGCGCCACAGAAAACAAAGATACCGAAGCGAACAGGAGAGAAGAGAATAGGCAACTAGACGCTAGACGGGACTGGTTCCTTTAAACGCGTGTCTGTAATTATTCATTATTCAATTTTCATTCCTATTTTGCATTAAAATTAATTGTTCAATCCAATTTGTTATTAGTGTGTGTGTCAAGGAGCGATCACCAGGTCAGTTAAATAATAATTATTTTGTTTTTGATAGTTGAATTTACGCAAGTATTATTTTTTTCCAATTTTTATGTTTTTTTGTTTGTTTATAACATTTTTTTATAACATGTGCATTGTGTATTCAGAGCGTGCATTAGGGCCTTTTTGAATTTACTAACATTTTCCTACCCTGACGAACGAATATCCTACCGAACAAAGGAAAGAGGTATTGGCTCAAAAACAACTATAGCCGTGAGTTTACGTAACCAGGGACCTCGGTACCTACCACAGATGGGCTAACTAACCAAAACTCTTCAGTATTGATTAAAGGTAGTGTTGATTGAATGTAGCATGTAATTAAAATTTTAGCACAAGAACAGGGGCGGTACCTAATTTAAACTTTTATTGACTTAAATTATTGAATTAATAACTCACAATTATTATTAAAATGACACAGTATGTTTCGATTTTTGAGGAATGTTAGACCGAGGGTTTCTCTGCCGTGCTCTTTCCCCTCGTTAGTTCCAGGTCGAGAACGGTACGTTTTTGTTTGATAATAAAGGAGACGTTTCACAAATTTTTCGTTTCTTTTACATATCACAACTTCCTTAAATTTCCCAAATATTTGCTCTGTCGGGCGCATGTTCAGTAAGTAAAATTGAGTAATATTCCACAACGTAGGTCCTATTTGTTTTTCATTTCATTTTTCAGAAGATTTGTTGTTTAAAAGGTAATAAAAATTCTCATCGTTCAATCTCACTGAGCGAACCCGGGTATGTTATACTACAATTTGTCATTATAGTTACATCTAATAAATAGTATTCATACTAAAGAACTTCTAAATCTAACATTTGGCGACGAGGTAATCGACCGAACCACAGGGCAGATAGATAATACACAATTTGATACATTGATGGAAACCCTTGCGAAATTATTACAACCCCAAAAAAATGATAATTCTATAAGAGGAGAAAACATATCATTGGAATGTTTCAATGAGGAAAACGAAACTTGGGAAATCTTTATTAAACGATTGGAAAATTTTTTTGGTATGAAGAAGTTTGCAGGTACGCCTAATGAAATAAATAATAAAAAAACAGAATGGCTTATTCATACTATGGGCACAAAAACACTTCAATTACTGTACGATCTTTGCAGCCCAGATGATCCGAAAACAAAGTCCTATACTGATCTAGTTAAATTATTATCTGACCATTTACAACCAATGTCAAGCGTCATTGCTGAACAAAATTGTTTTTCTAAACGTTTTCAAAGAGATGAAGAACGTATCACAGAATATATTACAGATCTTAAAAAACTAAGCAAAAATTGCGATTGCAAATGTCATAGTTGTAACACGTCAACCGTGGATGTTCACCTGAGACAACAATTCATTAGTGGAGTCAAAAATCCAAACTACATTGAAAAACTTATACAGGCTCCTGACAATACTTTTGCCGAATGTGTTAAAGTAACATTAGCGATGGAGTCTGCTTACAAAGAAGCCAAAGAAATTCAAAGTTCTAGTACATCTAAAGACTTTCTTTCTTGTTCTTCGGATCAAAATCAAATTAAAGCACAAAAAGATATACGAAAGAATTCGAATTATCAAACAAACAGAATTAATTTCAAAAATAATGAAAAAAAGTGTTTCAAATGTGGAGATTTCGCGCATTTAGTTAGCTAAATGCGCGAATTTTTATGTGGACAAGTATTAGTACTTGTCCACATAAAAATTTAAAATGTACAGAATGTCATAGATTTGGACACCTGGCAAGAGTCTGCATGAAAAGTTCCTCATCTAATATCACTAGATTGCATACAGAATAAAACCAGATTAATTTCACAGGACTCGATACGAAAATGCATGAATATAACTCAGAAACAGATGGAACAGAAATGTATTTCATAAACACAAAGAGTTATTCTTACAAGAAAACCAAAAAAATATTTAATAAATGTTTATTTAAATTCAATACTAGTTAATATGGAATATGATACTGGGGTTGCAGTTTCATCAATGTCACATGAAAACTTTAAAAAACTGTTTCCATTTACAAGAATTTTTCAAACTAATTTGCTATTAAAAACTTACACTGGCGAAATTAGAAAACCTATTGGATTTGCAACTATGAAAGTAGAAATGGATAATTATTCCTTTGTTGGTAACCTTTTCATTATCCCTAACAAGGTGGATTCAATTTTGGAAGAGTGGATGAGATCCAGCGACGACGGTGTTTTACAAATAAATCAAAATCGAATATATGGAAGTCAAAAGAACGAGATAATTGATAATTTGAAGCTTAAATTTGAAGAAGTATTTAAACCTGAAATAGGAAACATCAAAAAAAAGCAAATTTATACCCCAAAGATAATGCAATGCCAATTTACGTACCTGCAAGAAAAATACCCTATGCCATAGAAGAAAAGGTCATCGAAGAAATTAGGAGACTGGAAGCCGCTGGAATTATTAGTAAGCTAGAATATAGCGAATCGGGAACTCCGATTGTTCCAATAATAAAAAAAGATGGAACAATAGGATTGTGTGCGGATTACAAAATAACCATTAATAAAGTACTTAAAGATGACAAATACCCAATGCCTATAACGTAGAAGATATTTTTGCAAAGACGATGTTGGGTGGTAAAGTATTCACATTAGATATTCGAGAAGCTTACTTGCATATGTCATTGAATGCAAAAAGTGCAGAAATTCAAGCTATTACAACACCGAGAGGAGACTACAAAGTAAATAGGTTAATGTTTGGTACCAAAGTTGCCCCAGCTATATGGCAACGGTACATTTCCAGAACGTTGGAAGATATTCCAGGAGTATGTGTATTTTTGGACGATATCAAAATTCAAGGATCAAATTTAACAGAAAATATCAATAGAGTGGAAATGGTTTTAAGACGATTACAGGAAGCAGGTTCGAGAGTTAAGATGGAAAAATGTAGATTTTTTGAAAAATCAGTTAAATATCTAGGGCATATTGTATCCGAAAATGGTTTGGAAAAATCCGATGAGAAAATAGAAGTTGTCAAGAATGCTAGAAGACCTACCAATTTAACTGAACTTAGAAGTTGGTTAGGAATGGTAAATTATTACGGGAAGTTTCTAAAAGACATTGCTAGAAAATTACATCCACTTTATAATTTATTACAGAAAGACGTACCATACCAATAGACAGAAGAATGTGAAGAAGCTTATAACTGGATAAAATTAGAAATCGTTTCTCCGCAAGTTTTATGCATTTACAATCCAGATCTTCCACTTTCGTTAGCTACAGATGCTAGTCCATATGCTCAAGGAGCAGATGGATCCGAAAAACCCATTGCATTCGCTTCAAGGAGTCTTAATAAATCTGAGAAAAATTACAGTCAGATTGATAAAGAAGCGACTGCTATTTACTGGGGTGTCACAAAAAAATTTCAGTACCTTTACGGGAGGAAATTTATACTTATTACGGATCACAAATCTTTAGTTTCAATATTGAGCCCAGAAAAACATTTACCTTCAATGGTTGCTAGAAGAATGACATTACGCTCAATTTTTACAAGGTTTTAATTTCAAAATTATTTACCGTTCAACTTCAAACCATGCTAATGCTGACGCTTTGTCAAGATTACCCCAAGAATATGAGGAAAATGGAAATAACTATAATTGTGGCGATGTGAATGCTTACCAGTTATAGCAAATTATAAAATTACCTGTCACACACACTGAAATTGCCAAAGAAACACGGAAAGAAGAAAATCTACAAGACATTTATATTTGCTTATCACAGGGAAAGAACATCGAAAAAGAAGGTTTTATAGGAAGAGATGTTGAATTTTCTTTAGCTGATGGAGTTATAATGAAAAATAATAGAATATTGATACCAAAAAGTTTACAGAACAGAGTTTTAGAAGAATTACATGAAGGCCATTTAGGAATATTCCGAATGAAAAATCTGGCAAGATCATACGTTTGGTGGGTTAATATTGATAAAGATATAGAGAATATTGCTAAATCTTGTATCACCTGTCAATTATCACAAAATCAACCTAAAAAGATAATACATTGTTGGAAGAACAGCAAAATTCCTTGGCATAGATTACACATAGATTTTGCAGGTCCTTTTTGCGGATTTTTTTTTTTGATCCTAGTCGATGCATATTCAAAATGGTTGGAAGTAATACCAATGAATCAAATTACTGCTACAAAGACAATACGTGTTTTGAGAGATATTTTTGCTAGATTTGGTTTGCCTATCGTAATGGTAAGCGATAATGGATCAACTTTTACTTCCAATGAATTTAAGATGTTTTTAAAATCAAATGGCATTAAGCATCGGTTCTCCGCACCATATCACCCAGCAACTAATGGACAGGCGGAAAGATATGTCGAGACAGATTCTGGAGATATAAATTGCAAGCTAGCATATTTTTTACTTCATTACAGAAAAACATCACATAGTAGTATAGGTGATCAACCTTGTATGATGTTAATGAACTTGGACATTCGTACCAAAATTGATTTAATTCGACCAACTGAGATAACCGATATTCAAAATAATAGGATTTTTTTTAATCCTTCACGAGAATTTCAGGTAGGCGATAAAGTGCGGGTACGTAACTATATAAATAATTCAAAAAAATGGGAATTTGGTAAAGTAACTGAAAAACAAGGACTGCTACATTATTTAGTTGAACTTCATGATGGTAGAATCTGGAGAAGACATATTGACCAAAGGGAGGCTACAGAAGTCGATTTACAAAGGATGTCACCTAAATTTCCTGAGGGAAACATACCTCATACAATCAACCACAATAAAACTAAGCCAACTACTACCACACAAAATTATGATAACTCTGAGATTTCAAATACCACAAATACCAATGATGTTTGAAACCAAATTCCGAGTTCCACTAGCAACAGAAATGGTCATTCAAAAACCGAAACGCAAGACATTACTAACATGGAAAATTCAAGAATGAATGAAGAAAGAGAAGAAGGCCAAAGTGAACAACATAAATAAAAACTAAAATATACCGAAGATCAAATCGAATCCGGAAACCAGTTAAACGAATGGATTTATAGTTTTAAATATAGTTGGGAGGACTGTTGTGTATGGACCGTATGGACCGATATACAAGTTGGTGCTCACATTGTTAGATTACCAGTTTTGAAGTATTGTCAATATATTTGTCATTATAGTTACATTTAATAAATAGTATTCATACTAAAGAACTTCTAAATCTAACAATGGCAAGGGTACAAAATCAACTAACTTGATTGTTCCTAAGTATCTGAGTTGTTCTTCTTGTATTGTTCATCTTTTTAACTTTTTCATTGTTCGTATGTTGCAACAACTCAGACCGTAAAATCCTACTTACCTACCTATATGTTTGACAATCAGCCTAGAATATGTTTTGAATACAAGCCCTGAAGATGCCTTTAAACAATAAAGGCCAAACGTCGGCGAGTATTTGATTGGCTTTTATTTTTTATCCTTATCCGACTACTTCCTTCTTCCTTTGTATTGGTTTTGGCATGAAATGAATCCATCTTATTATTTCTCCCGTTTTTGTGTGATTTGCATAAGGTGGCGCCGAAAGAATTCACGAAATGTAATTGTAGAGAAATAGTGAATAAGTATAAATACTAGATCTATGCATAAGGAAAGGAAATAGAATAAAACACGATGATGTGGCATCCGGTAGAAATTTCGCTAGTTGGAATAATACGTGTAAACGAGTTTTCGTTCCATTTTTGTAGAGATATTGTAGCATAATAGGTACATTGATTTTACAGGTACGAAACCGTTCATCAAATTACTAGTTTAATAGAGTGGTAGGTAATAAAAAATAATTGAACTAATCGAGGATAGTGAAACCGGGACTAACGTATTTGAGTAATTAAATTAGCAATTACAAATGGGTTATAATCCTAGCTCACGCAATCGCTTGTTTTTTGCTGTAAAGCATTTTATTTAAATATGTTAATTTAAGTGAAATTCCGCAAATTGTAAAACTATGCGGATGGTCATCTGGAAGCCCTTAGGGTTAAAATTACTATACAGTAAAAATATTATGTAGTAAATTTATTCAAGCACTGACTTTAATGCCTTATTCAGTTACTACAAAAAATCGAAATCTATAAATATGCTCATTTGCACATGCAATAAAATAGAAAAAGGAAAGTAAGAATAGTAATTGTTATTGAGAATTGTTTGAATTATCTTACCTGGTCGGGTAACAGAACTGCTTTCTGCAAATGGCACACTATACCATACTAAAATGGCGCCAAGAGTGGCCATCCAAAGCATTCTTAATCCTGCAACAATAAAAATAATTAGCATTCAAAATCAAATTATAAAAACTTCGGCAATGGGTAATAACGAAGCTGGTATACAAACTTTACAAGAGTGGGTAATTAATGAAATTCTTGCAGGTTGTAATTAGCGGTAATGCAAGGTAATTGACTATAAACTAACATGTCTTGGTCAAACAATCCGTTCAAGTTGGTGCATTAAGAACGCTATAGCCGTTTACATTGCAGCCTTATTTTAATAGCAAAAAAATACCCAAGTAGTGTTAGCTTATAAGGTGGGAACGGTGACATTTTTTCAGATTTTCTCGCATGTAATATCAACCCTATAGAATATTTAATTGGATAAAGAGTCACCTGGGGGTATTTTCTCATACAAGATCTTGTTTATCCAATCCCTCAACTCAATTTCCTTTCTTCTTCTGGTTCAACTGGCATTTTACTTTTCTCGTTTTTTTTTTACAAAATTACAATTGGTTAAGTTGCTCGATGTCATCAAAGGGAAGGAACTTGCTTAAGCACAATAAGCCTTAAGACTGCAGGCCTGACACCGCCCTAAACCAACCAACCAACCAAACCTATGTTCAGAAAAAATTTTGTTCCTGCTTTTCTTTTGGTGGTATTAGTTGGCTTACGATGAAATATGTACCTATGTAAATTTAAGCAGGCAACCATTTCAGAGTGGGGCTGGAAACCTCATGTTTATTTGATTTTAAAATTTTGTGAATAACTTCCAATTAAAATCCCTATTTTCGAAGTTTTGGCTCAAATGTCATATCAATAATATCAAATAATACTCTGCATTTTTCTTATTGCTGAAAGTTGCAGTGAACAGTTCACTGGGCATCCTAATAAGTAAACATATAGTCTCCAGTTATTCCGTGTAGGTACCTAATTGTTATTCAGGTAGCTGTGCATTAATGTTAAACAAATAATTAATTAGTATTAAATATTGCTCGCGTGCATTACACCGTTTATAAAACAATTAAAGTTTCTCTTGATTTATTTAAATTAATTGTGTTTATTTTAATTCTTATTGCATTTCCTGAAAATCGAAGACGTTTCAATTTATTCAGCTAAATTTTGACCCTTTTTAGAATGCAAAAAACAAAATAAAAATTTGCATATACGATTTTCATTAGCTCTATATTCCATCCGCTGTGCTCACACCACAAGCTTTCCGCTCTTTTTATTTTTATTAAAATTTTTTCACCACACATGTTACTTTAATAACTGTTGAGAAAGTTTCACAAAACTGAAATGCAACAAAGTTATGCCTGTATGAAAACCCAAAGGCAACCTTGGCATCTGGTTTGTATTTTAATGAATGCACTATTAAGCTAACACACTTATAAAGAGGAGCAAACCAGAATTTATTGTCCAATTTAGAACAAAGCTGAGTCATAAACATGGTGGTTTTTAGACTATTTAATTTCAAACTCTTTGAAGTAAACTGCCATAGATTTGCATTTCACAAAGTTGGTCAAGGAGATGATGCATATAATGAACGGTGCATGTGTGTTGTGCGATGGTGATTAGGTTTCACGTGTAGGCAGTTAAAAAAATTCTGGGTAGGTTCGTTAAGATAATAAAATTAAATTAAAATTGTTGTTCATTTAACCTACAATTGTTTCTGTTTATGAGTGACACAAAAATTAATGAAATGTTTATATTTATTTTTATTTCAAGTAAATACATGTGAATTGTATAAAAAGGAAAGTAAGGAATTTTTTTATTGGAAACCTAAATGCTTCTTGTATGCAGATATAATAACTAAATTGCCTCAAAAGTTGAATTATTATAGACCGGAATCTAGGATTTCATGAAAGGTTGAATATTTGTGCTGTGAGCCTTCCAAAAACTTTAGGATAACATTGTTAGTATTTTGATATGGAATAGCGAGGAGGAGGTTGTGGATTTGGACTATTGATAAACAGACTCCCATTTATCCCATGCATACACAGTTTCGGGACCACCACTCCAACTCTTAGGAGGTACTTCGGGGAAACATATTCCATATTTGTGAACGTCGGAAGTTCAAGAAACAGTTAAAAGTATTTTATTAAAAGGCGTTCATTTACTCTTTCCAATGATCTTTTTTAATTCCCAGTAAAAATTCCTAGAGTCAAGTCTTATTGGATAAGATATGTTCATGCAAAGATCAGCAAGATGATCCAGTATTTAATTTCCTTCAATGTTCCAATAGCCCCCAATCCACTACAGTTTAATGTTAAAATCAATCTCTCCTTACATTTGCCATATTTTTTTCTCCCTAATCCTTGTATTGCGCTTTCTCAGTGAGATAGTAATAATGGTTTTATGAGTTTGGGTTTGCTACGAAATGCAAATGCCTAGTCTATCCACTGACATCATAATCAGTCGAACTATCAGAGAGTCACCAACTCCTAGAAAGCTCCTCCAAATTCCGAAGCCAGAAGTCCGAAGCCACCAAGCCCAGGTCCTCTCGAAGCCGAAGTCCACCAAACCCAGGTCCTCAAAGTCCGAAGCCCACCAAGCCCGGGAATACCCAAGTCACAGTGCCGGAAAACCAGTGTCGATAATATTCAATTAGGCTAGCAGTTCTGCGAAACCTAATCGATTTTTGACCAGTTCGTGGAAGTCAGCCAGTTAAGGGCTCAAAAAACCCCACCAGGTGCCACCCTAAGGCAATTAAGCCGAAACAGACAATAGCGTCAAGTGTTATCCTAGTGTTAAGTTACAATAGTGACGTTTTAAGTGTAAATATACTGAGTAAGTCTAATTCTAAAAAAAGCCACCCCTTGGTTTCTCCCCAATCTACCCTGGCCAGGCTTAGGCCTGTGCCTGTACATCTATAGCCCATTCTGCAACCAGAACCCTAGCCAGGCCCGGCCTGCACTTGAGGAGCGGTGGGCCACCCAGATAATCATGCCCGGTCTAGTACCGATGTCCAAAAGACACCTTTCAATGTTAACAAAGCCATAACCAAGAAAAAGCTCGGTGACCAAAGCTCTAAGCTCACCCCTCTGAACCTCCCAAGATCCCACAGCCGCAGTCGCATCCGTAGCCGCAGCCCCATCTGAAGCCGTAGCCCCATGTCGAGCGGACCAAGAAACTATCCTGTTGAAGAAGGTGCCGAAAACATCTTCCCACAAATATACGTCTTAACAAGAAACCGCTTCGCAGTCCTGCAAAATACGGTTCATATGGAAACAACACAGCCACCATCCATCGCCACAGCAGCGCCCAAACCTCCACCCATTATCGTCACATCAAAAGTTGATTTCCTACCCTTCAAAAACGAAATCAAAAAAATTCTAAAGGAGTCCTCGTACCAAATAAGGTACACTCCTAAGAACATCAAAATCTACACAGAAGACTTAAACCACTACAGTCTTCTAAAGTCCTTCCTAGACATGGACCAAACCATCCGATATTATATATTCTCTCGCAGAAATCAGAGACAAAAGAAAGTGGTCTTCAAGGACCCCCCAAATATGGACGCCACCGAGGAAAAAACCAGGCCAAAAACATTCGAACACAAACACCCAAAAGAACCAACCCAAAAACCTACAAAGCACTCCAGAAGACAAGGGAGAGTACTCTGACTTCGAGACCTTGATGGCGGATATCAAGAACCTGAATGAAAAATCAACATCAAGGAACGATCAATAAAGTGAGAAATCTAAAAACCAGACTGGCGACAGCCAAATCAGAAATGGAATTATTGGAAATATTTTCAACCTATGGTAATTAAATTGAAAATACTACACATAAATATCAATGGCATCCTGGGAAAAACCCAGGAGACTAAGAACTTATCCTGAGAACTAAATCAAACCTTGTAACCATAAACGAAACCAGACTAGCCATGAACAAGACGCTGCCTAAAATTCCAGGATGCCAATGTATATATAGAAACAGACCAAACCGACTCCCACGCCATTCAGCCGGCGGAGCAGCTATCTATATTGCCGAAAACCTGGATTTCAAGGAAGCAATAACCAACACCACAGATATAGAATTGTTTGGAATTGACGAGGCCATTACAAAGTTGACAAACATTATAAGCCAAGCAAAAGCCGACTATATCCCCAAACAGGACCCAAAATGCAGCCCTTTTCCAGACACCATCCTGGACAAGATTGAAATTAGAAACGCCCTAAGGAAAAGATTCCAGAGAACCAGAAAGGTAGAGGATAAAATTGAATACCAACTTCAATGCGACCAGGCTAGGGCACTCCTGGACTCCCATCAGAATGATGCCTGAAATAAAAGATTACTGGCCGCAAACGAAACAAACAACATATGGAAACATATCAATAGTTACAAACGTAAAAGTAACCCCATCATTATCCCACCACTGAAAATAACTCACAATAACACCACCAGATCCATAACCAGCACCAAGGAGAAGGACAATCGCTCTCGCAGACCAATACATCGCCACAAGTGAACTAACCACCAACCTATCTGATGCCAGGACTGAGTACTACTTCCCCATCAAATGGAAGGATACCAATACTATTGTCTTCCAGAAACCCAACAAAAACCCAAGAAAGCCGGAAAACTACCGCCTTATTCCCCTCCTGGACACCATTGGAAAAGTTCTGGAAAGAATAATTAACAAAAAGTTTACTGGCCATCTGGAGACAACAATAAAATTATACCCGAACAATTTGGAATCAGGCCAGGCCGATCAACTTCAACTCGCAAGAGTTGTAGACCTCGCAATGGACTCCAACAACAGGAAACTAACTACTACAATGGCTCTCCTGGACCTTGAAAAGGCATATGGCACAGTGTGGAGGAAAGCTATGATAGCAAAGCTATACAGGGCAGAAGTCAACCAACGAACCATCAAAATCCTCGCAAACTACTTAACCAACAGAACGTTCAGAGAAATCATTAACGGTTCAGCATCTGATAAGAGAAATATCCACCATGGACTTCCCCAGGGCAGTGTCCTTACTCCAACACCACTCAATGTCTATAACAACGCCGTCCCCAAGAGCGAAGATACCCAG